ATTCACTTAACACAATCTTGCATTAACACTGAAATCAAAGTACCAGAATCACAATCTAATATGCGACTTATTTTGAATGTCTGACAACAAACAAACCTGTTAAATGAAAAAAGCGACAAATATAAATGTAATGTTTTTTGTAATCCTAGTTTCGTTCTTGCAAATACGTTGCATGTAATCGCTTTAATAATAATACACTTGAAGAGTTTCCTATGACACCCCTCGTATCTGACTTTTGTCAAGACTAATTTATTTTGAATATTCGCCATGGATTAGATAAGACATAAATTGTTTGCAGGAGATCGAATTGAGTTTGATCGTTGCAATAAATGATGCTTTATATACACTCAGGTTCTTCTGTGTCAGTTTCGGGATTACTCATTATCTAATTTTCTTGTCAATTTCGTCTAGCTCACGAGTTAAGCTATAGACCTAAATGCTATAGATCTTAATAATAATACGCTTAGTAAATAACAAAATGGTTATCCATCTTGTTAAATGGCTTGCGGAACAAAGAAGTCTGATGAGAGTGTATCCCATGTGGCAACTTATACCGTCGAATGGGGACAAGAGAATAGACGATTTGTATATCGATCATTTGCATAATAAATTGCCCTGTTATGCTTTATAACAGTCTACTCTTTTATGGAATCTCTTTGTACCTTGACATGTACCTTAAGTTTTCCTCTCTACCAATTAGATTCCTTCAAACAAATTATTGCGGGAAAATGTTTAAATAAGCAGAGACAGAATTTTAGTAACAAATTTCCTTGAGTGGCATTTAGTAACTGTGGTATTTATTAAAATAATTGTTATTCATATAATTGTGCCCAGTTAGTTACAAATTTGTTTTCTGATAATTGAGTCTACAAGTTCACGGTTGAGTTTTTTGTCATATAGTGTCAATAGCTATTGCTATTATATAGTTTTCAGAAAACGAATGAAAAGAATATCTTCTATAACCTTTACAACAGAATATTCATATTTAAAATGGCATGCGAATCAATGATTCGGCAAAGCGAGTACGACTACTCGAATGAATTATGTCCCGTTCAATTTCGTCATTACCGGTAAAAAAAACCCTTGAAAATTGCTTAAAATGGACGGAAGTGTTAAAATTCTCTGAAATTTTTGTGAATACTAAGTATACGTGTTTGGAACTTTCTGTCAAGTTTCACATCAATGGATTATCTAAAAGGTGGTTAGTGCGAAACTGCAACATTTCCGGATATTTCAATGAAGACCGCCATTTGCAATCACCATCCTTTTACACCAAATGTTACGAGATTCCAGATTAGATAAACTTAATATTGACGAGAATATGGTTAGATGTGAATAATCGTACAGTTGCTTAAGTAACATGTTTATCAGATTATTTTCATCTTTTATACCATGTCTGGTCATGTAGAACGCCCACTGGTTGAATTATGATCCTGTGTGATTGGTTCTGTCTGGGTATCGTAATTTTGATAGATATGCTATATATGGACCATAATACACGGCATACGGTGACAGTAAATGTGTTATCAGAGAAAGCCTATAAAACTCCCATAAAAAGCACGAGAAGTAAAATGTCCATATACATGAACATATATTGCTAAATGATAATTATTCTCTTCATTGAAATTGTGCGATTTGATGTATAGCCCATGCCTTTATCTCTAGAACGAATACCAGTGATTATTCGTCTACTTAAAGGCATTTATTCATTAATCGCAGTATTTTATTTCCATAAATGTCTGATCCTAAATCTCTCTCTTGGCTTTGTTTTTATCTGACAGAATTAACTCTGGATCTACATTGTCACTTCTGTCTGCTATACTCTTTTCGCTTTTAAAATGCTTTATGATGATAATAGAAAAACGACGTAAATATTTCTAACACAGTTGAATTTCTGAAATAGATGAATAGAAGAGGTCGTACTTTTCTGCAACTTTTCGAAGTTTGCCAGGGAACCAAATGAGCTTTTTCTCTCTCTTTTCTGTTAGTTTTTGCTGTGCACCAAAGACGACTTTTCCAAGTCTATTTATCGGGGGTGAAAATCCAGGATTACCTTTGCGATCTGTGTTACACAGGCAACGTCGCGGGACCACAGCTCTGATTGGTGTGGCGAGTAGTAAAAATTTGTTGGAAGTACATCTATTACTAGCAAGAATACTGATGAATTTATTTTTCGTCACCAGTTAATAATTTTTAAATTGTTTCACAAATTCCGATAATGTAAAATGGTAATGTCTTATTGACAACTTATCCTTTACATGAATGTGCTAATCTGTCCGAGAGAACGTGATGTGTTCATTGGTAAAACATTATGGTCACCTAACTAACGATATTTTCTACAATGTTTTGAGTGGGAACAGGGCAATTTTGACCTTTAAAAATAGCAATTCGAAATTTCCAGAATCGTTTGGAATCTTAATGGTGCATTAAATGCCATTTAATACCAGATCACAGTAGATTAAAGTGATGAAACACATAGACGTGAATGTTAATCGGGGCCAATTAAATATCCTGGCGAGGCTTGTGGTTCCTTGTAATTCAGAATTCTTAACCTAAAAAGGCCAGGAAACCTAAATATACCAGACACTCCCAATGAATAGAAAACTAATTTCAATTTCCAAAACGTCCAATCAACCTATTGGAGGTTTATACGAGTTTCTGATTGTTACAATCTTTTGAAGTTGTTATAGAACGACCTCCGAACGAAAAGATTTTGGCCTTGGTAACTTTTAAATGAAGCAGTATTCGTAATATGAAATTTATATCAAAATATGCACCAAAGATAACAAGAAATAATTTTGATTGCACCAAATTTCTCAGTTCTTACTCTTATTATCACGAGATAATATGTCTCTTGTTTCATATAATGTACCATTTACAGATAACGACACATGGCGCAACGCTCTTTGCTTTGTAACGTCAGTCATGTTCATAACGTCACTTTTACTGACAACAGGTTCAGATGACGAAGAGTCATTGATTCCTGATAAAAACGAATGTTGAAATTTATCATCTGTGTATACTTTTAACGAGTTTCCGTCACCAGTCTTTAGATATGGTTGTCTTGGTCGCCTGACACTATTTGAACTATGAAATGACGATTTAAATGTTTTGGTTGTTGGACTCTTCTGAGATAAAGCTCCCTGGAATAGAAATAGAATTCATGGTTACTATATTTGGAAGTCAATAACTCGAAGATAATATTGTCTGTACGCAATTACGTCCAATTTCATAATTCGCAAAGGGACAAATTACACTATCGAATTTCAGAATGGTTTTCTATTTTTACTAGTACAAATGCTGTTGAGGTTCGAAAAAAGTGGGCAAATGATATGAAGCACTCAAATTTCCCTAACATTAGATGTTGTTTAGCGCTGTACGTCTTCATTCGCCTTATAAGCAGCAGAATTGAACGTAAAACACCATTTCATTTCATATTGATTATCATCTTAATGTCTCAAACTTGTTAATATACATTTTCCTTATAAGTTGTTGTGTACTAATGGTAAAAACATGGTATAATAAAGGCAATAAGACAAAGTTAAAATAACACAAAATGTATTTTTATCATTATAATAGTCGTGTGAAGTAAGTCATAATTAGTTATAAGACCTGGGTATTGTATATCATAAAATATTTACCCTAAGTAACGTGAATGGAATGGCACTAAATCGTAGTTGTTACTAAAAGTGTACTAGCCAAAATCACATGAGGAGATGATGGAACATTTACTTATCCCGAATCAAAATATCATTTGGGGTAACATGTCGCCGAATTTCGCCGCAACAGTTTTGAAAACCATTGCTTAATTGCATTTATAGAAACCTGAAACTTTTGGATTTATATTATTATCATAATTGATAGATATAATTGGAAATATCGACATTGTGGGCATATATTTTCACAGAAAACTTATCTTAGTTATACAATATTATACCAAGGAAAAACATAATTTAAACAACAGGATGATCCTGGTGTTATCATCAAGTTATCAGTGTACAAAGGTCGTTTTAAGTTTGTCTTAATATAAGTCAGTTTATCTCCTATTACTTCTTTATTCATAGAATCGAGGACATTAGGTTATTTGAATCTGGGTAGCTAAGAACTTTGTTTCATCGTTTCTTTCAGTTAATAAACGCGCATTCTTTGAAATTGGCGACGTAGAATGTACATACTTGTTCAATTTAAACAGTATTAATAACATATAGCTTTTCGTTTATTGGGAAATAGCTAAATAATTTATTCTCTTTAGGAGCCGATTTCAGCCACGAAAAGTAATTTTCAGAATCAACATCTTGGGCTTAGTTCGTCTACGTCTGTAATGCGTTCAATTTATCAGACCTCTATTACCAGACCGACGGTCACCCTAGCTTTTATTTCAAGTAATTGCACGTTATATTTCAGATTTAATATTTAAAAAGCATTCCTAAGTTATCTTATCATAAAAGTATACATTGATATACCAAGTTTCAACAAAATGTGTAGTTCTTTATCGAATACATAGGTCAACGACACTTCACAGAGTAAAGAGCCCAAATCCAATGATATTTGCATTTTATCTTGTTAGAAAACAATATCGTTGGGCGGATATAGGTGACGCTCATAAGTTTTGCCAAATATCCAAAACGATACGCAAAAACAATATGTACAGTAGACGTCGATTCCATATATTTTAACGATTGAACAACACTAAAATTTGAAACCATTCGTCTATAATACTTCTGAAAAAACTATATTCCTTACACACCCGTATCATATCTTGAAAATGTTTTACTCACTTACACAAGTTTACCGACAGATGTTCTCAATACGTATTATGAGGGCTCATGAGAATGATACAGTGCGGAATTAAAAGAAACAGTGAATTTTGAGGACAATAAACACTGTGTTGATTCTGATAATTATTAATATCATAAAAATAATTTTACCTTGCTCAGTAATTTTGAGTTTTCGCCAACCTGGAGTTTAAAACCCGAGAACATAAAGCGTTTAAGATAATGTCTAAATGTTTTGTGTAAGAAACAATACAAGATAGGGTTTGTAGCACTATGAAAATGGCCGACTAGTAACATAAAATGTACGACATTTGCTGCTTGCACATCCGGTTTGAAACTGATATATGTATTAAGAATATAGTAGGGTAACCAGCACAAAGCAAACAAAATAGCTACCGCTATACACATTTTAGCCAATCTTCTTCTACCGGACGTTATATGATTTGAACCTTCTCGAAACGAGGTTTTATTACCGGAAGTATTTAAATGTTTATCAGGAATCCAAAGTCGCTGACTCATCGTGACATAGCACACTGAAATTACTAATCCAGGACATACGTACACAATAACTAGAATAAACAAATCAAATCCTTGTCTATGGTTAGCAGTCGGCCATATTTCTATGCAGTATGTAAACTTTTCACCGGGTAAAATTTCATCCGTCACAGTTTTACGGACTAACAATATTGGTACCATGATAATTAATGATATAATCCACACAAAAAATATCAATATCCGCACTGTTTTAGTAGTTCGAAGCTGTCTGAATGTTACTGGATGTCGAATTGCTAAACAGCGATCTAAGCTCATTCCTGTTATTGTGAACGTACTGGCTGATACTGCGATCCCTGAAATAGGTACAACAACATTTCAGCTTCAACATAATTTGTCTTAGAAGTGATCAAAAATTAGCTTGTGTTTCTGCCAGTAATAAAAGCTATGCCACATCATTTCAGCTTCTGGAGGAGATCGCTACTCTGTGGTAAATAGTGGTCATTCTTCTGTGTACAATTACAATATAAAAATTAAAAACACAACAATTTGTGCAGTTCCCAAAAACGTGATGCTTTTGAAAATGTGAATATACCTTGTAAATATGGGGTGGCTCGACACAAAATATCACCATAAATCCACAGTTGGTAAACTCTTTGAGCAGCAGTCATTGGTATGCACACAACAGATACTGAAATACATCATAAAACATAATATATTTTACATTTAAAGTTCCTCGCTTATGGATCTTCATGGGAATAGATCGGACTTGAAAGTTGGTGGTAAAAACAAAACATACATCTGTGATGTAATATCGAAAACCTAATGTTCTAAATTAAATCAACTCTCCTCGCTAACTAAACTGACAGGCAAAAAAAATTTTTCACTTTAAAAATCGTTGTATAAAAAGCAATAAAGCTGGTACAGGTTTGAACCCCAGCAGCAAACATTTGCCTTAATGCAACGTTATCATGACCACAATGCAGATTATCGGCCGCAACTCTCCAAATCGTGCATGCATAAAAACGTGCAAAACGCGATTTTACGACATTGGTCCAAATGCACGATTTCGGTACAGAACAGCCATTCAGTAAGGGGAAAAAAAGTATGCCAAGACTTGCACAAGCGCAACGAGATAGAGCGAGCGGTATGGCCAATATGGGGGCTTCCCAACGACAGAAAGCTAGAACCTTCAACTGCTCCCAGACCACCATCAGCAATTTGATAATCCGGCTCCAACAGACAGGACAGATCCAAGACTGACAAAGATCGTGAAGACCGAGGGTGACAACACCGGCCGACGACCGCTACATCAGGAGGATTCATCTTCGAAACAGATGGTTGACAGCGGCGTCGACGGCAGCAACAGCACTAGGTCATGTCATCAGCAGTCGAACAGTCCTTCGAAGTCTTCGTTCAGTTGGTATAAGAGTCTATCGACCCTTCCGTAGAATGGCGTTGACCCGGCTACATCGTCAACGCAAACTACAATGGGCACGAAATGTACGCCGGTGGCAGCGACGTGACTGGGCGAGGGTGCTCTTTACAGATGAAAGTCGGTTCTGTCTGTTCAGGAACGATGGCAGGGCTCAAGTTTTTCGACGAAGGGGAGAGCGACTGGCGCCAAACTGCATCACAGAAGTTCACCCGTTTGGAGGTGGAGGCGTCATGGTATGGGATGGAACAGGATTCCTGCTGATGTTATCCGCCGCCTGACGACGTCAATGAGGAGGCGTGTGTTTGCGTGCATGTTTGCCCAAGGTAGCCAAACTCGTTATTGATGACGTTTTGCCTGACTACTGTCATGGAATAATCTTTTTATGCACTTTTACAATGAATTCTGGTTTGTGTAATTTTTAATTTTGACCCCTTGACTCTTCCTTTGTGTATTGCGGAGAATTGAGTATCGGTATTACAATGCATTTTCATTCTAATTCAAGTAAATTGATTTCTGTTTATAAATCAATCATCATATATCTCACATATGCTTTTGTCTTTGGTGTGTGGCCAAATGAAGTAGGTGAAAACTTTCCTTTGCCTGTCAGTTTAGAATAATGAGGCTTCAAATATAAAATAAAAAGTACAGAATGTATATGGCTTATCTGGTTTAAAACATCATGTTTTTAAGCTACTGTTTTGTTGGAGGAGAAAATATATTGTCAAGAGGAATTACCTTAATTAGGTATGATAAGATACGTGGCTTTACATGCGTCATAGTTCTCATTTTATAATACTGTTACATTAATCACACGTATCATTTTATTTAAACTAGCATAAAGTACATGAGAACATCAGAGTTTTAAGTCAAGATAAAAATCACAATCGCAGTATGGAACCGCAATGTGGTTGTTTTTTTTAACGGCAAATTATGATACAGATCGAAAGCCATCACTTTGGATTGTAAACGTAAACGTCCATATTGAAAAGCACATTCAAATGAGGTATTGTATTATAAAATTAAAACAGTAATTATCTGGTAAGGCTTTGTTGCCAAAGGAAAATTACATTAACCCAAATCGCAAAATGTCTGATATTAAAACTGAAATTAATAAAGTTAGCCCGGGGTGGTTTGTTCCAGACATAATAGTACTAAACTTTAAAGTCAATCAGGTCGTCAACAAGACAAAACATCGAATGAAACGCCTACGTACATATTTCAATTAAATAAATGCAATGCCTACAGCAGTTTACCGGTTTTGTCTTCATTTCTCTTCTGGGATAGAATATATAGAAGTCTTTTAATTTTCTCGTCTTGATTTAATTAAATAACTATATTTTTTTTTTTTTTTTTTTTGAATCTTCAGTCTGATCAGTCCCTTTCAGAAATAACACGCACGAACATTCGTTAAAATTGTTGTTAAGCAAACAACGCCAAAATCATTCCCTCACTAGGGGTATTTAAATACATATCTACGAGTATTAGCATTTTTTTATTCGATAACATTTAGAAAAATCTTTAAAAATAAAGTTTTAATGACGGTGTAATGATGAGTTATTATGGAAACATTTTCATAATTGTATTTCCAATCTTGGAGTCTACATGATTTTGATGACAGCCATTATTGATTTAACATCAAAAACGAGTGGGTTGCAGAATAAGAACAGGAAGTTTGGCACCAATTTGGCTAATTATTCACTGTAATTTGTTCTTGAGAGTGATACAAAACAGACACTGAATATTGCATTGTAGAACATATAATAATAATAAAACTACTCAAGCCTTCTCCAACATGCAACATTCGATCTGATGCGCATTGAATCATCATATCCATGAGGTTGAGTAAGAAACTTAACTGAGTAATAAATTTCTGCTGAATAGGGTTGATGAAGATTGGCCACAACATGATATTAATGCAAAAAGAGCAGCGAAATTAGCCAGGACACCGACATCAGTCTCATCTTCTTCGATTTTAACTACCGATGGATCTTTAACATGCATCACATATCACTATGCAAATCTAATCAGAATGGGATTAAATAACTGCATGTAAAAAAGCGAATATATTAATTCTCATGAAGTGCAACAAACAATTAAATTTTTAGATCCCAAACAAAATAAAGCTTATTTATAACGGTACTAAAACTTGATATATTAATATTCATTGAAATATCTAAAAATTATTTATCATTTAAATTACTTTATTTCATTATTGAAGTTACAGGTAATTCAAAGAATATTAAAACATGACATAAATTACACATAAAACATAAATCAAATAGCTGAAACGTTATTTTGAAGAATCGGGGAAATTGATCGATATATGCATCATGGTATAGCTATGGCCTACTTTCCAGATTAAATGCAGAATCTACTGAGAGGTAAAAGATAGCTTGCCATGCAAGGTAATATACGCTAACAAGCTGTTATGATTTTGAATAATTATAAATATTTAGCAGTGCAGTATCAATATTACATTTTCAACCTTCAACAATATACTTACACTTTGTGGGGTAATAATGAACAATATTACCTTTTTGTCAAGTTTTGAAAGCGTTTTCAAAAACAAGGACAATAACCCATGTTAAATATTTTTCGATCCATAGGTGACTCACGTTAAGTTTCGTTACAAGTGTCAAGAATTGAGCCTTCTAGAGTGTTGACAAGCTAAAAATTGAAAGCAATTTCAAGAACAAGGGCAATAACTCATTAAATATTTTTTAATTTTTTTTTGCATGGGTTCATCCTTTGTTGAAATATTGAATATCAGTTGTTTCTTTCAAATCCTTCAAGATTTCTAGAGTGTTAACAAGCTAGAAGTTGAACGTGTTTTCAGGAAACACCTGATATTCAATATTTCTAATAGGGTTCATGCTTGGTTGATTACAAACAATTTCACAACGTTTCGTCAAAATCCGTCATGAATTTTGCCTTCTTGAGTGTTTACGAGTTAAAATTATGGCAATTTAAAGAAAAGGGGCAATTATACTGTGATTATAAAAAATTTTACAAAGTTAATTCCGAACTTGTCTAGAATTAGAGTGTTTGAGCGCGTTTTCAAGAACCAGTGTATTAATACATCTTTCAAAAAATCATACCATGGGAGAAACTTCCTGGAGACGAGGACTACCGAAACTTCCCTGGTACATTTGCTTGAATTGAAAATACGCATAGTATGGAACTGGGTTCTTGTAGCTTTCATGTTTCAACTTGATAACTCGGCAAGTGTTTTAGAAAACTAATTATTATCTTCAATCTATCTAATATATTAACGCTTAATTAGCTGATATACATTGTTATAAAATGTCACTGAACATGTACTGTCTGTTAGCATCAAACAACTAATATATTTTTTATAGAAAATTGACATTTTGTGGTACCATTTTTCAAAAGCATGTGGCTCCAAAACTGTGGGATGTAGGCACCAAGTGTCAATAAGTAAAATGTTCAGTGATATTTGTATGTTACCATGGAAATATTCATTTTTGTGACGTCATCATCTTTAGACCTGATTGTGACGTCACCTTGGCAACAATAGGTTCAAATCCTAAAATTAGTAGATTTTTGTTAAAATAACAATTTTCATCATGTTAGAAGTTTATGAATATTTGTATATTACTATGGCACTGTTTATTTTTGAAAAACATGAGCTCATATCATGGCAACTATGGGAATATTTTGTTCAATAAAGAAGATAATGGAGGGATAAATGGAGGAATTCGACTTTCATCGTTATTTATATTACCACCGTCAATATCAACACATTCCGAATCCGATGGCCGGTCGTCTTCAGATGGCAAAAATTCGTCCTCAGGTCACTATCAGCGTAGATATGGATACAGCTTCAACAATCAATTTTCGTATCTATCCATATAGGATGTCTATATGGCTATGACGCCATGAAAACTCAAATTTCGCGACGTCTTTTCACAAATATAACCTATTTTCAATCAAATTGTTTAGGATTTTTTATAGAAGAAACATGCATGTTTTTTTGTCTACAAATTATCACCGATATATAAATCTGATTATACATATATCAACACCGTCTTTATAGCGGTAGTTTCGTATTTATTTATAGTGGTGGTCGCACGAGTAGAATGTCGTAATATTGCAACCGTGGCAGTTAAGTTCATATTGTTTTTTAAGTGGTTTTTTTTTATGAATTTAAGTGAATTTTTTGTTGGTGCTGGAATGACAGCCCTCATCATCACTGACCCTCTACAACCCGTGGAGGTTTTCCTTCTGCATCT